CATTGCATGGTGACCGGGTCCAGCAACTGCTTGCACTTCTCAGCAGCGTGTCTTATGATAGTGGCCTTCCCCGCCGACCGAGGCTTGATTCGGGCGGGATATTCAGATGGCTGCACAGTAATGCCACCGACGAGGTCCTCGGTGTCGTATTTCACCGGATTACCTCGAATATCTAGGGCAGGCGAGAAGTCGAATGCCCATAAGAGCCTCGACATGCCCAGAAATAGGGATCTTTCAGCGATATGAATGCCCTGGCAAAGGCGTCGTCCCGCGCCGAAGACAAAATTGTCACGCTTCTTCGTGTCTCCCATGGCGGATTGGTAGAGTGTCGTGTGATCGTCCCTGAAGCGCTCGGGTTCAAATACGCGGGGATTTGGTGAGCGCTCTTCATCCATATGAATGGCCCTGTGTTGCGCCGAGGCATTAGACTTGCCGCTTCGACAAGGGCGCTGGTACGTGACTTCTACAAGGATTGACTCACCACACATTGTTAATTACAGTCGCGCCTTTCGGGATATTGTAACCCATGTAAACGTCATCCCTAACTGCTGCATGAGGTACACCAAGGAAAACAGTCGGCATCCACCGCAGGCTCTCCTTGATGCAGCAGCGGATATAAGGCAGATTCTGGTAGTCATCGATGGTGGGTAGACGGTCATGACCAACCACGCGATCAATCTCCTCCTGGGCCTTTATCTGTACTTCTGGCCAGACGATAATGGCCTGAATGAAACCGTAGAGAGTTCCTGCCGTTGTGTCTGAGCCTGCTTCGAGCAGCGAGCCGCTGATATAAGCAGCAGCATCGTCGCTAAAGCCCCCTTGCGTCTGAGCGCGATATATATCGTTGCAGAAGCAGGGCTGTTGATTCACTTGTCAAAATGGGGTCCCAGCACGAATCCCTTGGTCCCGAGTCATAGACTAGGTAGGGCACTCACCAGTCCTGTTCCGTCGTCGAGCGCTTTCTTCGACATCATCCAATGTCGGAGATAGTTCTGGCTCTCTATCTTGTACAGTTGCTTGGCGTATCTAACGTTCGGTGCAATAGAACTAGGCAAGCTTTGAATGAAAGGATAGATGTCTGCCAACTGGGCGCTAGAGCTTCCGGACAACTTGCCCCAGTTCTCGAAACTCTACGTTATCAATAGTCAGTTTTGCGCAGAATTACTTTTTGTTAACATCAGCTGTGATGAGAAGACTTGATTACCTCGAACAGCTGCAGAAGCTTTGGGTCATGATTATCAGTACAGCGATAACCGTATATCATTTGTGTAGAAAGAGAGTAGGTAAATCTTCTGATGTGCTGGAGAAAATCGGAAGGAGTTTCCAAGAGGTCATTCAAAAGAATCTTGTTTTCGAGGTCCTGGTAAGGGACGTACGTGACAGCAGCCTTGATGTTCAAGATGTTGTGCACCATGCGATGGATCATGCGCCAGTTGTCTCCGTATCTCTGAAAATTGTCAGCTTGCTAGTTCCCTTCTGTACCTTTGTCATTTGTCCCATCTGTCGTCGACTTACCATCACAACAAGGCGGAGATCGCCGCTGGCTACTTTCTGGCCGATAAACATATCTGGCCGGTCAGAGTAATTGCCGCTCCTCTTGTCCAACACTTCTTTGACAGTTGTATCTGATGATAGGACGATCATGACTTTTGTGCCGAGTATCAATGAGTAAATCGGCCTACCGCTCCATCCAGTCAACATTTATACTTTCACTTCCCTCGGCTCTTTTTCTGCTGTGTTCCTTGGATTATTCTTCTGAAAGGTAAATATGAAGTCTTACCCATATTCTTTGGCCCATTTCTGCAGCTGGAGATGTGGCCTCAACTTCGGCATCTATGTCCATGCTATTAGTAAAACCGCTGTCTCGGTGTGGTTGACTGGTTCACGAACGAGATGCAAATTGCCTAGCACTGGCAATGTTGGTGGACCGGGCGGATAGCCGGGTGGCCTAGATCCCACTTTGCTTACTTTCCAAAGAAGGAACAAAACAGTAGCGGCCAGGAAAAGAATTGGGTTGAGAAGACGGAACATTGCGATTGCAAAGCTAAGTTATCAGGATTCTTCTCGTTTCAAGGCGAAGTTAAATGGACCATCAAGTTTCTGGGTCCGGTTAAACATAACAATTAAGAGTATTTCATTCATTACTTTTTAATCACCGTTTGAGACTATAGATAACTATCTTATATTATATAGAAGATCTTCAGCAGACTCTCTGGTCACACAAATGTCTTCGTTTCACCTGTAAGAGTCACCAAGCACTTGGGCGTCGTGAGGATTGGATCGCGGGGTACATTAGCTTGTGTCTAGCTTTGGGCCTAGCATGGTGTAACGGAGGGGGGCATAGCCTAGGGCGAACAAGCCTGACACTGATAACTCGGCTGAGACAGTGATGGGCCGTGTGGTTTCCGTGGAATTGCAGTAAGAGTCACTCAAGCCGCCTACCCCGAATCCCGCGAAGCCGAGGCCGATGCCACCCTGTTTTCTTCCAGTTCGGCCTCGGCCTCGGTCTTCCAAGGCGCCTATTTGCTGTCAAACTTCTCAGTACAACATTTCTATTCATATTTGTCACACCGGTATCCAATAAAGGTGCCATGGCCCATTAGACAATGTACAGCGAGCGGCTCTTAGCCCGATTGCCTTGCATATTACTGCGTATATGAAGTCCCTTATTTCAATCCTGAAGTTGATACAGTTTATCATCTAGTAGCAAGAAACCTAAATAATCAGCTGAGAGACAACAAGTATATTAAGGAGAAGGTCGAGGTTGGGTTGTATCGGTACGCTGAGGGAAGCGCTGCTTCAAACTTCTGGGTCTTATTTAGTTTTGAGAATTCACAAACGGTCTAAACAGCCTTATAGCTTATGTTCATGGACCCCAGTCTGCCCTAGACTTCTGTATCTGCGCCAAAGACCTTCAGTTTATCATCTAATGGCTTCTGCTCCCCCAGCGCCGGACTAGGGCCGACCCGCTCGCCAAACACAATCTGAGCCGTCAGCCGCCAGTAAGGTGGCAGAAACCAGGCTGCGGCTACCAATTCATCAATCAGGGGGTTGTAATGCTGTTGGTGGGCGCCGAGCCCTTCGGCTGACAGCGCCGTCCAAATGGTGTGCTGCAACATGGCATTCGACTGTGCCGCCCAGACGGGAACTGGTCTGAATAAGTTGGAAACTTTCTGGCGAAACTTTGGACTATCTCGCCGTCCACAAAGAACATAACCTTCGTTGAAGTGCGTCTGCATGTCTAGATCACGCTGGTGAATTTGAATGTGAAGGATGGACTGATTGAGTGACATACAGTTCCGGCAGCGGCCTTGAATCCGGCAGTCTTTTGGCTCGTAGATACCCATTGATCCGTAGTGACTTGGGCCTTGAGCATGTTAGTCACAATATCCCACAGCTTGTCATGCTCGGAGCCGAAGAGCACGACCGCGCGGTTGGATTGCGAATTGAATGGACTAGCAACCGACTGCATAGCATGACCGACCATGGCCCTCACTTTGCCTTGAACGATGGTCAGGTGTTTTCCCAGGGCGTACCAGGATCGGCGGGCCGCGATGGTGTCAAGGAAAGGGGTCGTCATGTTTTGAGCCGGGATTGTGCTGTGGCGGTTTCCAAGACCAAGGTCAAATAGTGCAAAAGTAACGGCAGGCAGAACGATGAACCAAGCAGCAAGCAGAGGTGTAAGCCGAGGAATGGAGTGATCTGTCCCAGGAACTGTTAGTGAAGCTGCCATTTAACTGGGTGCAATTGTTGAATAAATATCAGATACTAGGTCTTCAGAAAGCACTACACGATATCATAGGTAATAATACGAAGTACGAAAGTCAGCATCTGTGAACTCTGTTTCGGTTTCGTAATACTACCCAATCAGATATCTTCTGCTTTCAAAATTTCAGATCCAGTCTGCGGAGTTTCTGCCGAGAGGAAAAGGAGGAAAGAACATTTGATAGCATTGTTACGGATAATGAAACTTCGACTAGGAAGTGACATGAATAGAACAACGCTAGTACTTGTTATCACTACTGAACCAGGTTGCTTGGTAGGCGGCGAAGTTTAATAAATTGATTGATAAGCGCAAACTCCAGTTTCCAAGTTGTCCTGAACTTGAGCATCTACATGCCAGCTTCCACCAATTGTCTACCAACTATGGACTCTGGCGAACAATAACACTTTCTCATTGTGTTTAGTGGTATAATCCTGGCGTCATATTGTACAATCTCTCATCTTATCAGCCAAAGAACCTACTATGGCGGCATTTAGTCAGCAGAGGAGGGAATCGTGGGATAAAACGCCTCGTTTTCTCGGTCCCGGCTAGAAGATAGTCCTCACATACCAATCGACACCTACTCACACCTTCGTTTTCTGTTCTGTCTTGCACAATGTTCGAACTAGAAACCATCATCAAGACGAAGGCCAACGCCGATACCTTTTTCGACTTTGGTGGTCAAACATCGGTGCGAGATGGAAAGAACCGTCAACATAGCCGCTCGTGGGAGCCACAGTAGCCAGTGCCGCCTCACAAGCAGACCTTGGCGGCAGCAGACGAGACTTTGAGGCTACCCTCCCCAGAAGCGACACACTCGGAACATATGGCTCCTCCAAGTAAGCTAAGTTCATAGGGCTGGCATTCTAGTGACGCCCGCGTCCGTGTTGCTTCTCAATACCTTCAACTCCGGCCTGCTTACCGTGGCTCTACCTGCGGTAGCCAGGGAGCTCGACATTGCTCCGAGTGTGCAACTGTGGCCAGCATCTGTCTATGCTCTAGGGTTGTCGTGCGGTCTCCTTCCCCTTGGCGCCATCGCCGACGTTGTTGGTAACCGTCCCGTCTTTTTGACGGGCCTGCTATTATATAATACGGTCTTCACCTTGGCAGTGTCGCTCAGTCGCACTGGAGGAGAGCTCATCGCCTTCCGCACGGGTGCAAGGTGTTGCAATGTCCTTCTGCATGCCGCCCGCTGTGAGCATCATAACTTCAAGCTTACCCGCGGGTCGCACCCGCAATGTTGCTTTTGCGGTCTTTGGTGGCGGTAATTCAGTTGGCTTCGCCATGGGGCCCCGTCTTGGGCGGTATCTTTGTCCAGGCCGCGAGTTGGCGCGCCGGCTACTGGATGTCCACCAGCGTCAATGCGGCATTCATGATCCTCGCCTTCTTCTGTCTGCCTAGGCGTCTCCCGGGATCGGATCGAGTCCCACTGAAGAGCATGGTCCACCGTCTTGCCCATGAGCTAAACTGGGTCGGCGTCGGTTCTGCTAGTGCCTTTTTGGCTCTCCTGTCTTACCTCTTCTCCGAGCTGACAAACGGCGTCGCCAGCTTTATTCGCCGGCCTCACTCCATTGCCCTGTCAATTGTTGCTGGATTGCTTGTTCCATTTTACGTCTTCTGGGAGAGTCGTCAGGAGAGACTTGGCCGCCCAGCCGTTCTTCCAAATAGCATTTGGCACCGACTCGAGTTTGCAACCGTCTGTCTCTCCGTCTTCCTCACCTGGTCCTGGTTCAACGCGTTTTCGTACTGGGCCACTCTTTATTATCAGGAGTCCCAGCAGCTAGATGCCTTGCAGACGGCTGTACGGTTTCTGCCAGTGTTTGTCTCTGGTCTAGGTACCAACCTCGTCGCAGCCTATATCATGGACAGAGTCGACGCGGGTATGCTGAGCCTCATCGGGGGAATCATGAGCATCGCGGCACCTCTTATCTTTGCCTTACAGGAAGTGTTGTGGATGTACTGGAAGTCTGCCTTCCCGGCCATGATCATCAGCGTCATCAGCACCGACCTCCTCTTCAACATCAACAACCTGATCATTACGAATAACTTCCCGGGCAAGAGCCAGGCTCTCGCAGGTGGCGTCTTTAACACTGTTGCGCAGTCAGGCAACAGCATCGGCCTGGCTGTCACTGCTATGATTGCGGCTTCGGTACAGAAAGCTGCTGGAAGCGAAAAAATGGCTACGAGCGGCTCCGTGACATTCAATTCTTCTCTGCTGCAGGGCTACCGGAGCGGATTGTGGACATGCTTCGCTGCTGCTGTTGTGGCCACACTGATCAGTTCGACTGGCTTGCGAAAAGCTGGGAAGGTGGGAGAAAAGAAAGAGGTCTAGTCTTCAACTCCGCCAGGTGTTAGGGGTAAGACTCAGATTAGGGTCCAGCTCATCCATTGGGTGTGACGTGAGAGCCTAATTCGATATCGAAAATCCTCAAGGAATTCAAATTCCGCCTCGGATTCGGGTTGTTGGGATAGAAGGGTGCGATCCGTGCACCCATGCTATCTCGCGAGGGACTTGAATTCCGCGCCTCAAAGTCTTACCAGTGCGTGAGGGGTGTCTATGTATTTCGCTATTCGTGGAGTTCCTTAAATGCCCTGGTGGACTCGTCGGTATTTTCCAGATATGGAACTTGTGTACATTGCAAAAGCCGCAGGGAGGACTTTTCTTCTACTGGAACTCACAGACCTTTTCTCTTGCATCCAATTCTTTGCGACGAACTCTTTCGTCTTCATCGATCATCTGCTAGTTGCAAGTCTGTCGTCATTTTTCACACTGAGCCATCACGTCACCGCAATTGAGGAAGCCCGAAGTCATGTCTCATCTACAATTCTTTGCGTACGAGGGACAGGGGGTTGAAAAGCAGAAAAGGTACTCCTACAGCCAGGCAGTACGAGTCGGCGATCGTATTGAATGCTCGGGACAAGGTGAGCTTTCCCATCACATCCTTCCCCCAAAGACTCATCTGTTGCCTATTCCATCGAATTTACGCCTAACTCGGTTTACTGAAGGTGGTTGGGATCCGATCACTGGAGAGTTCGAAAAGGAGATCAACGCCCAAATCGATCTAGCTTTCGAGAATGTGGATCGATGTCTTAAGGACGCTGGCGGCAAAGGATGGACCCAAGTCTACCGTGTCAACTCATATCACGTCCCAATCAACAATGAAGCTCTGGAAGCGATGGTCCGTAACTTTAGGAAGTGGATGCCGGATCATCAACCTCTGTGGACCTGTGTTGGCGTTCCACGTTTGGGAGAAGATGACATGCGCGTGGAAATCGAAGTTGTGGCTCATGCTGTCTGAGAGATATCGTCGCAAATAAGAATTGAAACTTCAAGATATTTCTTCTCGTGCCTTCTTGTGGCTGTCACGATGGGCTTTTTAATGCGGACATTGAAAGTGCATTTCCGCAACTCGTAAACGAAACGACGGGAGCGCATGAGACTCCCCTCGCCCATATAGGCATGCAATCTTTTCAAAATTGATCCCCGCCGAAGTAAAAAATACTTCCTATGGCACCTTAACTCGAAGAATCACGTCTTCACTTCATCTCTCCGGCGAGTTCAAACACTGTCAAGCGTTAAGATTAGGCCAGACTCTGGAATCTCATTGATAACAGATATCTGATGAAGGAGTCTAAAAGACTCGGCAATTTCGACTCTTCGAATCAGCATCAAGAACAGGCCAAACTCAGGGTTGACAGGCCTCCACGTCCTGCAGTACACTGTAAGGCAAGACTCAGCTTGATAGTAGATCAGAGCCATGCAATCTAGTCATGGTGCAGCTGATAAGAAGTCTTCGCTATTATGAATTTAGAGTTTGACAGATTGTCGCAAAGCCCAAGCTCATAGGCCAGTGAGATAAGAGATGGCCTTGCCCCCTTAGACGGAATGCGAATTCCTATCTCTCGACGAGACCAACAGAATGATTGATAGACCATTTACGGAAAGGTCTTCACCAAATTCTATAGACGCCTCCAAGTGACCCTGGCCAGAAGGCTGGGTCTATCAGTCTAGTTTATACGTATCGATGGCTTGACTTATTAAATCATGAGGCATGCGCTCACTACAATGAGAAAGTTCGAGTGCAAGGCAGCCCATCAATCTTCGAATTTCCTCATCTATTACCCAAAATGTTATCAGCCCGCAAAATTCTCGTGTACAGCATTATCTTCTCGTCTGGTGAGTTCGTCCTGGCAACACAATCGTGGCGTCTCTAAGAAGCTGCATTAGCAACTATCATTGGGTATGATTCCGGGTACTTGAACGGCGTGCTTGGATCCGAAGACTTCACCCGAATCTACGGCGTCAAACATAGCGTCACCGGAGACGTATACTTGACTCCATATACTCGGAGCGTATTCTCTGCGTTATTCGTCGTTGGAGCTCTTGTAGGATGTCAGCTAGTAGCACCTCTTACCAATCTGCGTAAGTCTTTAGGCGTTTTGAACTTAGAGTGTTGTCAAACTTGCTGATCTTCCGCAGTTGGCCGGCGCGGCAACTTGTTCACAGCCTCAATCAGCTATGCTGCAGGCGTATCGCTCCAGACCGCTGGACTTGCCCCACCCATATTCATCGTGGGTCGTATTTTACTTGGTATTGCTCTCGGCCTCATCTCTATCACAGTAAGAACTCAGCTTCACACTTCTTGTTAGTTTGAACGACAGCTGATTATTATGATGCAGGTTCCTGCCTATCTCATGGAATGCTCTACGCCAACGAATCGAGGACAATTGATGGCATTCTACACCCAATTCCTCACCACAGGCAATGTCATAGCCTGTGGCATCAGCCTGGCAACTTCCAAGTATAACGATTCCCGGAGTTGGCGTAAGTAAATTGCGAAAATAAGATGAGCACATATTGGCAGAGGTTGACCCGGAAGTAGGCATTACGATCGCATTCCAGCTGGTGTTGGCACTGATCGTTGTCATCGGTGTCTTTTTCTGTCCCGAGTCGCCCCTCCTCCTTGCCAAGAAGAACCAGAAATCCGAAGCGCGCCGTGCTCTTGCCATTCTCCGCAATGCAGACGTTAACTCCTTAGAAGTTGACGACGCCATGGTCGAAATCGAAAATTACATTACAGATCAGAATACGCACGGAAGCGCAAGATTCATCGAGTGTTTCCGAGGCACCGATCTCAGAAGAACTCTCATTGGCGTGGCGATGTCATTCTTCACTATATCCACAGGCATCACCTTCTGGTTCGGCTACGGAACAACCTTCTTTGCCGCGGCGGGTGTCGACGACTCGTACCTGATCTCTCTGGTTCTCGCCATCACCAATTGCGTCTTCACAGCACCTTCCATGTATCTCATTGAGCGTCTGGGAAGGAGAAGATCTTTGATCGCGGGCGGGATCCTTATGGGACTCGCCCAATTACTCACCGGCGTCATCCATAGCGCTGCTCCGGACAGCAAAGCTGACAAGATGATGCTGATCGTTGGGGCAGTGTTCTTTATCGCTTCATACGCACCAACTTGGGGTATCGGGGGTAAGTTGTCTGCGTTAGAACTCTGCAGAAGAGAACTCCACTGACGAATTAAGTAGGCTGGCTGTTGATGGCAGAGCCTCTGTCCGACCGTGCGAGAAATTACCAATCTTCCATCGTGTTGACGGCATACTGGATCATCACGTGGCTGGTTGGATTTGTTACGCCTTACATGATTGATGAGACTGCCGGAGACCTCGGAGTCAAGGTGTCCTACATCTGGTTTGGCATGACTGTTCTGTCTCTCGTCTGGGCCTACACCTGTGTCCCAGAACTCACGGGGCTTTCCAGGATGGAGGTGAGTTGCACTGCTCGGAAAATCCAACTCATAGTCCCATGCGCATGGCTGATTCCAACAGATTGATAAATTGTTCGAAGAGAATGTGCCTGCATGGTGTTCACGGACGTGGCAGAAGAACCTTCGAATCATTCACGCAGTCTCTGAGTCTGGTCCAGACAAGGCCGTAGTTATTGGAGAAAGGATGCAGTCTGAGGAGGAACAGTCAACTTAGTTCGACATTACAATACATCTTCCGGGGTTACAGTTGGAAGACACTAAGGTACTTAAGGCTCCGAGGGTTGGAATTGTTGGCATGGGAAAGGGGCCAGTGTATTGGCGTAGTGAATCTGTGGAGAGAAATCAAGCAAGATCGTTTTCTCAGATGTGTCCAATGACGTTTCTTGTATTCGATTCAACGTGAAGTCGACAACACTCAATGTTCTACCCACGTGCCTGAATAGCACCGGCAAGCACAACAACATAGGTAGGCTACACACCAATATCACGACTTAAGTTCTTGATTCCCCGTTACTTTCAATCATTCACGTCAGAACCGTCAGTTTCTCAATATCGTCATGGTCGGAATATACATGGCAATGGTATAGGCGATCCCGGCATACCAATTGAAGCCTTCGGGTCTCGGTATCACACTCATTGTGAAGAATGGCGTGGTAGGCGACTTTCAGCAAGGCCTACTCGGAGTGTCAGGCTCACCTCATTATTGACGAGTAATCGACTCATAGATTTCCTCACAAGGCAGAAACTTTGACCACAACTTGCAATTACTGACCAGGGTCTCGATTCGATAACGCGAGTTTCGTGGCAGACATTTTCGAATTCAAGTTAACAATTGTCCTAACCCACCCTAACAACCACTTTTCCCGTGTTTGAATGATTCCCAAAAGCTGCCATTCGGGATGGTATCTCCTCAAGACAGACTTCCGTAACTATAGGTTTCACTTTACCATCCCTGATATACTCCATGACCTTATAACTCTCATCCCATCCACCCATCAACAGACCTTGAAGCTTGATGGAGCGCTCAACCATCAAGGCCAAGGGGATTGTCAAGTTGCCCCGGGATTTCGTCACGCTGAAAGATGTCAGCAATGTCGGTCACAAATAGCCCGGAAGTAAACTCACCCTACGCATATCACCGAGCCGCCGTCGCAAACGTAGTCAATCAGCCCTTCAAAAGCACTTTCGTCACCTGATGTGACAAGAACAGAGTCTGCGCCGCGGCGAGCCTCTCCTACAGGGCGCAATCGAGCACAGGCGTCTGCTATCCTCTCCATAACCTCAATCCTCTCCGACGCATTGAAAGGCGCAGCGATGAATTCGTCAAAGACGTCAGCAGCCCTTGAGCCCAATGCTTCAACCTTCCACGGCAAATCGATGCCAATAACCTTTGCCCCAAACACGTTGCGAGTCATTATGCCGGCCAGATGTCCTATCCCGCCGCACACCCCGCTAACAACGATCACGTCCCCGGGGGCAGGAGTCGCCGCTTTCAAGGCTTTGAGTGCCGCGGCACCAGAGCACAGCGCCGTAGTATACAGACCAAAA